TTAATTTTAGTTTGTAGGTCAAAGTGTTTTCTGTAACACTCCTGAGTTAAAATGTTGCTGCTCAAGTTGAATCTTATTATTTATAGATTTTATTTAATTAGATTTTTCTACCTGGATTATTGAGCATGCATCAGGATGTTGAATAAGGATAGATTTAGTTTCAGGCATTGGGTGCACGTGAAGTGTTTTCTGTTACAAAGTTGTTCTTTGTTTCTGTCGATCCTTTGCTTTAATGTTAACCACACACGTGCACTTCAACAACCTGGACTGGTTCCAGACACTTCACTGAACTGGCTTGAACTCCCAGCAACGCGACACGTGGGACGTGCAGTCCGTCAGTAGAGTTGGTGTGTGAGCTCGGGCAGAGAATGATTTGTGGACGTCCTCCTGAGTCCATGCAGTCCACTGGGACCACCGTACATGAACTTTGTCTTTGCTTTGTGCCACATTCTTCAAGTCCGTTGTAAACTACATCGCTGATGTTCAGGTTTCTACATTGCTTTTGAAAAACCTGCTGAAATGGTTCCTTTGTGTTTGTGTTCAGTGCCCTGACACGACTTGTTTGTGGCTGGTGCTACAGAAATAAACTGAATCCTTGGTTTGTTCAGAACCTCTGGCCACATTTACTTCAGAGGCTCTGCCTCTAAAATGCTTTTGAAACTCCCAGTCCTCTCACCAGTTCACAACCTAATTAGTAGAGCCTGACCAATATGGAAAGTTTGGCTATCGCCAGAGGGGAAGCCACCGCCGATAACCGATATAATGGCTGAAAGCTTTTGCACTTTATCCACCCCAGAATGTAAGTGACCTGAGCGGGGCTTGTTCATGTAGCGCAGCCGTTAGCAACCATGAAGCTAAGCTAACCAGATCCAAGCTATAGTATACCTGCTCAAGGTTTACCAGTGGAGCAGTGCTCATAAAAACAGTCTTTCTAACGCGCGTTCACATTTTCAATCCTCCACTATTCACCATAGAGTTATCAAGTGTTACATAAATATAACTTAAAGAAACACCGTTCCATGTTCAAACAGGACATGGTGAAGGTCTAATTAGCACTGACCACAGCACAGTTGATTTTTCTTTGCTGAGATTTCAGACGATGCATTTCATTGATGACAAAGATAACTTTACTAACATGATATATTTTACCTCTGCGCTGGGTTTTCTTGTCGTTAGCTTGCTAACTTGAGAGGCATGTATATACGTATGCCTCTCAAGTACTCTGCACAGTATAGCTCTCTGCTTCGTCTGTGCTGAAAGTAAAACTCAAGTGAACGGCCATGACTTGAAAGTGGTCTTCATGTGCCCTCTGAAGGGCACATTGTTCAGTTATGGCTGGTTTCCAGCATTTTAACAAACAAAACAAAGGTTGAATGAATTTTAGAGGTGAAAATCAGAAGTGCTCATATAATAATGGGACAGTTATCACCGATACGTCCTCAAACGCCTACACCGGTCTAAATTATCAGCCTTACCGAGACACAGGTCGGGCTCCACTAATGAGCTGTGACTCCCATAATTACTCTGCTTAAGAAACCATTTCAGAGAATCTTTCCCCAGATTCAAATGTAAGAGATGTACACTGTAGAGTGATGGACGCTCAGACACAAAGATAATCAAAACCTTTTGAGTTACTGTTAACGTGAAGTTTTCTGAGCAGAGAGGCTCTGACATCACAGTTCTCTGCACTGCTTGTTCTTGTGTACATGAAGAATAAAATGCATGGGCATCAAGTCAACTTTATTGAAATAACACCTAATAACACTATATTTATATGTGATCACCCACCAACATCTTGAGAAAATATTTCTGCAATTAGCTATTTAAAATAATTTATATTTATAATAAACTTGTGAATAGCAGACTAACAAAGATAAATTAATGTAATATGCTGACAAAGCAAAAAACTGATGGGTGTTATTTAAACTTATTCAAATCCACGTGCACTTTTCATTTCAGTTGGTAGAAAAAGTAACAAATCTAGACATACAGTCATTTTTCAGTATAAATAGTATAAATTATTTTGCTTTGTACAAATAGAGCCACATTGTTTCTGATGGTCCTGGACGTGGAGCCGTCTGAGTAATCAAGCCTTGTGAGACTGCGTCCAGCTGCTGCAGGTGGACTTCATACACACACGTCTGAGGAAAAGTGCTGGAAAGAGCAGGAGTGCGTGTTTCCTGATGTTGCTGAAGCTTTCATCTTGCTCCAGAACAGTGGTTGCAGCAGGACTGACTCAGAACTAATCCCTCAGTACAGGCACTCTGGGAAGTTTGATTGTACCGTCGTGTAAAGTCCTCACTTTTGCAGAATAAACTGATCGATGAACTCGTTCTGCTCAGATTCCACTTTGGACAGGGCTTCATGCTCGATACGGTACCTGAAACACAGAGATGCAGCAACCTTAGAGGTGGAGCTTGTTGGGACATCTGTGCAGTCGTGTGTCGGCCTCAGCGTCCAGAAAGAGCAACTGGTACTGCCACTTTAACTGGTAACATATTCGTAAATACAGTTGGTTTGGACACAATCTCTGTCCGTGAG